ATCTTGTGACACTGCCATAATCATCAGACCTTGGCACAATGTCATCTCATTACAATTTTATATAAGTGAAATATTGTTAGATATCAGTTGTTCGTTCCCCCAGGCGGTATAAATGCCTGTATGCTCCTCACCACGCCAAATTAGCTAGCCTGAGATTCAAATACGATTATTTTTATGAAATTGGGAGATTCGCACCGGAGCCTAAATCCGGTTATCCACGTCCTCCATTGTGCGTAAAACGAAATATCTTGCGATGGACTTGGCGCGAGAAATACCCAAGTTTCAGGTTGTTTAGATCCACCGGACCGAATTCTTACCGTTTTGTCTTCATCCGACATGTTTGCCCACTCCTTACTTGCATCTTTCAATATCTTTGAATAATTTCGTTCTGATGGGAAAATAGTTTCAAATTATTTATACTTGAAAAGGAATGAAAAATTATACACACCAAATACGCACTATTAACTAATGATGATTCACCAATGAATTAGCATAACAAGATGTGTCACAGAAAATCTCTGCACGTCAATTGTGCATCATACTGGTTTAGTGGAAAAAATGGATTTAATCTTTATCAGTCGAGAGTTACCAAAATGTCTATTCATACCTGGACTTGAATTGAACATTTTTTCTGCAAACACTACAAAGGGTGTGGTCGGTCTTTTAGGTTTTCTTGGCAGTTCTTCATTTTGTGATAAGCATCTTGCAGCCTGTATATGAACAGGTTCCACATACCTTCGACAAAATAACAACTCATTGTCAATGAAACTGTACAGTCTGGTTACAACATAATTCTCAAGCTGGCTATCGACTGATTCTTTTTTTTTCTTGAAAACTTATAAGATTTAATGCGAGTACCTACAGTGAATTTTATGGATGCAAAAATGTTTATTTATATAAAATATTTATAATTTTAAACAACTTAACCAATCACAGTGCATTATATATATATGTTTATTTCATCAGAAAAAAATACAAGAGAACTGTGAAAATAGTTCTACTGAACTAGTCTAGTCCACAGCCCTGCCATTCTAGTAAACTTATGTGTATAAGTCATTGACAGACAGAAACTATTTATAATTCTAAATCTGTATTTGGAAACAAAATAGATGAAAATACAATTCATCAATAACTATTTAAGATTTAACTATTGACAGATGCATGACAGTAAATCGGCCATTGACAAAAGGTAACATAAACATAGACTTGCCAAGTCATGAAAAATATTATTTTATACGATAATTTCTTTTAGGAATGAATTACAATATCTGGGATTGATGTGAAATTTCCACAAGTGGTCTATTCTGCTATGCGCTTTAAAGTTACTACCTTGTTTACATGATGGTAATTATGTTAATGAGAACATGAATTTGTGGCTGTGGGAATTCGGTTCGAATAAATCGCCATGTTTAATAAATCTCCACAGAACATACAGCAGACTCAAGCGATCGAGTTCAAAAGAAAGTCGTAATGACTTCTTTATTCATGGGTAGAACGCTGAACATTTTAACCAGTAATTACAGCAGTAGTACAAACTTCAGTATTAAACTGTGAGTGCCCCTGATGAGAGGCAAATAGGTGAATAACTTGAAAACTATGAACTAAATTCAAATGTGGACTCCGTTGAAGACCGCCACATCCATCGAGCGTAGGAATCATGGGTAACACTGCATAATAATTAGCATATTTGAGGTCGATTCCATTGCTCATAGGGGGTAACTCTTAATATACGAAAACACGTAAACGATCTAACAGTGAAATAATAGGGTAATTTCCTCAGTTACAGTAATAGGGAAATATAAATAAACTAGAATAATCTAAACTGTTTATAAAGATAACACTAGATAAATAAATCTATCTAAATGTAAAATGTATTGATACATATTCTTATGCATTTAACTGGCTAACAAACACACATGTTGACCTGTGCCCCAACAGAATTTTAAGCTGCCAACCAATAAGAAAGCAGCTTTTGATTCAACCTATTCTACTCAACTCTAATGCATGTGTAACCCTGACATGTAAAGTTCTTTGTGCAAGACAATTTCCTTTTTTGGAAATGTTAAACTCCTGGGTTCCATAATTTCATCCTGTATCATGAATAATTAATAACAATTAATATACTTCAGAATAGACCAGTTGTGGTAATTTCGTGTTTGACAACGATTTACAAGAAAAAAAAAGGATTATCATAAAAAAGCAATAACATAGTTGAACTCTGGTGACCTTGCCCTTTGTTATATAATATAATTCCCTTTATCATAGTTTGTTCAATATAAATATGCATTTTCATAATTAATTTTGAATACAAACAAGTTTTGGGGTTGAACCAACAGTGGGGAATCAGTCTACCGAATGTCCTTAAAAGATGTAAATATCTTACAAAAACATTGGTGCCTTATTTGTTTAATTATTTTAAGGGACATAATTTCCAGCTTTTTTCAAAGTAATTCAGATATTTTAGTATAAAAACAAATGTCTCATTGAAAAAAAAAAGTGCTGCATTTAGATGTGAATAGATTCATAAAACATGCAAGATAACAGAAAATTTTAGCTGGCTTTAGTCCAAGTATTTTGTACAGGTGTCTGTCAAAAATTAATGATTTACTGAAGACAAATATGAACTGC